GTTCAAACTCGCCCCGCACCCGCACCCGCATCGCCCCATTGCCATCCCTATCGGGTGGGAAACCAAAAAAAAAATGTTGAAGAAACTAAAAAAAGGAAAATAACAAAAATGATCACTTAGTTTTCGGATAAGTTTAAAATAGTCCCTTAAACATACTCTTGAATCAATTTGGTCCTTTTAATTTGATCAAAAGTGAATACTTTTGATATTCACTTAAATATTTAACAAGTTTGAACCATTTTAAATTAATTTTTTTTTGGCAATCCGGAGTGTAATTTTATATTTTATTCTTATTTTTAAATTTGCTAAAATATATCAAAACATTATTGAGATGTAATATATATATTTATTCGGAAAAATAATGAAGCACTAACGAAGTGCATAAAAGACACAATTGGAAAAATATTTGTGTCAAACTTTTACCACGGAGGAGGATGTATCAAGGACTTGGGTACAAGTTGGGGGTACAAAGTAGGAGCATGTATTTAAGCTTTTTCAATATATTATATTTATTAATAATTAAAAATATCATTTATTATTGTTGTTGTTGGAATAATTGAAAATATAGTTTTTTAACTTTACACATGACTCCAAGCTAATCGCAAATACGATTAGGTAACCTGCAAAAATTTATTGCTAAGTATACGCAAATGAAATCTTAATGGCATGAGTACAATTTTCACAAATAAACAATCCCTTTTTCTTTTTCCACAATCTAATTTTTTTTCTTTAGAAAAAAGAAGAAGAAGAAAAGCAGCATCCAAATACCAAATTTGATGCTCGATAATAAATACCAAAAAGATGTTGTCAAATCCAAAAGTTGAAATATACGGCCCAGATGCAATATCCTCAGCCAAACCCTAAATTGACGGCTCTTATTCAAATGGACTTTTCCCTTTCCACAAGTTAATCACTCATTGTTAAGCTGCTGTAGAGTGAAGACAACTCGAGGCAATTAACATTAATAACCTCAATCTTAACTGTGTCCAAATTCCCACCCGCCAAAGTAAGTACGAAGAACAAAAACCCATTTCTCCTAAAATTTGCAATCTAAAATTGCAGAATTTGGTGGAAGCCATGTATATGTACAGGGGTTTGCAGCGGTTTAGAACCTCTGGCTCCTCAATTATTAACCGTTTTACTGTGCCTCAGTTGAAAAGAAAAGCTTCTAATTCTTGGTCTGCTATTCAAGACACCTTTTATTCAACAAAGGTACAATCTTTCTTTTGAAGTTTTGTTTAAGTTTTTCTTTTTTCATAAACACATTTAATCACGGAAGTATAATTTTTTTTTTGTATGATATTATTGGGAAATAGGATATATTCGAGAGGCATAAAGTGGTATTTACAATCTCCACGTCTATAGCATCAGTTGCTACAGCATGGTTCGGTATGTTTATTGTATGGTTTTGTCCTCATAGATTTTCATTGACTTGCTTTCCAATTCTTGTTGGAGATTTGGGTATTTATTTCAGTTATGAAATTCTATATTGTTTTCCATTTTCTGTATAATGAATTGCCACCCGAAAAGGTTTTGATGTGTAAGAGAATAGTTATTCTTTATCTTATAAGGTGTTATTGACAAAATTCTTTGTACTCATATGCAAAATCAAATCATTTATAGAGAAAATGAAGAAAGAGCTAGAGGGAAGTTTGGAGAGTCTAATTCATTCTATGCATAATACACACTGCTTGAGCCTCGAGTTATGTACAAAGTATCGCAACTTGCAATGCGTATAACTGTCTGTTTTTGTGGCCAGAATTATCTATCGACTGATCTACCAACTGGAACGGATTGATTAACGAGAAGAACTTCAGCTACTTAATAGTATCAACTACAATGTCTTATTAATTTTAAACAGTAAATGCTAACCGTCCAATGTAAAGTTGCAAGCATAATGCCACCATTATGCTTGCAACTTGAAATGCGTTCTGCTTTCCAACGTGCTCATCTGTTAATTAACTCATATAATTTCTCCATTTCTTGACAAATGAATATATGTCTATTGACTATATAAACACTGTTAAAATTTTGATTTTTAATAAATCGAGCTGACTGCGAGCATACTTGAGTGTTTTCTCGAATATGCGAGAGTGCTGATCCATTGAATATGGCTTAATAATAAGTTTTGATATCCGGCCGATCTGGGATAATGTTATTTCACATTAAATGATCAGCTGACAGTTGAGCGAATGAGATTTTAAAGGTTGGTTATCAGACATGCTCATATGACTTATCTGCTAAAATGTGTAAAGTAACTTTTTGCCTCCAACTTCACTGTGTCTGGCTTTGCAATTCTTTGATGGCTTGATGCTTCTCTTATATATTCACAGAGCACCATTTCATTGAAGGTATCAAGTGTTTTTTTTTTCCGCAAGAGTTTCTCCCTAGTCTGCTTATATGATATGCTATCTGGGTTTGAATCCTTTCTATATTGTGAATTATTTGGTGCAAAAATTGGATTTTTCTTTAGAATTATCTGGTGAAAACATGCTACAAGTGCATGCATTTAATCTCTTGTTCATTGTATATTTATATTGGCTACTCTCCTTTCCCTAGATACTTTTGGAATGCAATATTCAAGCGGATCTCAAACTTTTGCAGGTTATACTTTACGGCACGTTCATCAATCAAGAGTTGAACATCGTCTTGAATCTATAGAGAAAGCTGTAAGTTCTCATTGCAGAACAATGTTGTCCCACAGTTATTTTTCTAGCTTTTTCTGTTCAAAAGAATAAGATGCGTACTACACAAGGGAATTTGTTTGGAGTGCTATACAGGAATGGGCCAAGGGGTGGTGGTGGTGGTGGCGGTGTTAGCTTGTGATTCATAGGTTATGTTGAGAGGAATGATCCATTCTAGACTTTAGAATGGAGTAAGTTCTTTTAGATAATTAATTAATGTGGGAAAACACCCTGTATACAAAAAAGTAAAGAACATCCACAAGTATGATTCTCTAAGAAAGCTACCAAATTAGTAAACTAACAGGAATCTCGTGGGTGCACCAAAAGTTAGCCAAAACACAAAAACCAGCTCTCAACCATACAGATTCGTTTTCTACCCCTTCAGAATTCCTTTCCCTCTGAGTACCCTCATAAGAGCCAAATGAGTTGACATCCCATGCTCTACGCCTCCTTTCTTCTTCTGAAAACCTAGCTATGTATCAAGTTCTTGACTGTTTATTGTAGCTACGAAAACCTAGCTATGCATCACCGTATTCTAACCAGTTCAGCTCTGTTCACCACAGCCTACTTACTACCTCACAGTCAGTTGCAAGTGATCCACATCTTCTCCTGATCGTTTGCACATGAAGCACCTGTTGACACATGTTGTCTTCCTTCCCATTTAGAATCGCGCCCTTCTTTGTTGTTATCCACGTGAAAAAACATACTTCTATCAATATTCTGTGAATCCAAATTGATAGATTTAAGAACTGTCTGTCCTAATAGAACTTTACCAGAAAAGATCGGCTTGCCTTTCTGTTCACTTCCATGTTCCAAGTGTCCTACTATGCCTGTCTTATGTCATGCTTATAGAGTAATTCCATCAAGTTTGAGAATATAACTATCTCCCGTCTTATAAATTCCTTTTGAACCTCAAGTCCCAAAGAACTCAGGCATGTTCTGCTCTGTAGATATGATAGATGTAGTCGTCTCCTTCTGGCTCCATATGTTATAGATATTTGCGAAGACAACTCTCAGTTTGTCGTTGCCGCATTAATTTTAATTCCAAAAAACTAATTACATTTCCCTTCTCAACATTAAAATTGATGTTTCTACTGAAGTCTTCTTATCCCCCCATGATGTTCCACATTAACTTCCTTTGAAGCCTCTCAAACTTTTAGATCTTAATAAATGGTGCGTGCATAAGAGACATGTGATATGTTGGGATTCTCTTTGATGACAGGTACCTCTTTTGCTACCTTGCTAACCTCTTCTCAACTTTTTCTGTTATTGTTCTCAAATTTGCAGTCTTTATGTTATGCTCTAAGGGCAATCCTAATAAGTCGCCAAATGTGTCCCATTTTACAATTAAACAGATGTGCTAATTGTGCAATGCTGTCTACTTTTCCGACTGGAATAATCTCACTCTGCTGTAAATTATATCTCTATTCCCGATATTGCTTGGAACCACAAAAACACCTGCTGCATATATGTTAGTTAAGACATCTCAGCATCACAAATACAAAGATGTCGTCTGCAAACAAAGATGTAAATTGGTTTATAATAGAGTAGGATTAGTAGCAAATGTGGTGTTAACTGTTGAGATTAATTCTTCGATAATATTCCCTTACAAATTAATGTAATTAAAGACACGAAGTTTGAAAATAAAAATTATTACCACCTAGAATTATTTGATAATCGAGTATCCTGCCAAACTTCAAAGTCGTTCTTTTATAGCCCAGGGCAATGGGAAGATGTGGCGCAGTTGTGTCTTCTTTGGATAATGTGTAAATAGAGACAAGAATTGGAATTTGACCTCTCTGTACGCTCTATAGATATGGACTCTATTGTTTAAGATTCAATTATTATTAAGCATGGCATGGAGTACGGACTGGAGTGAATTAGTATTTTGTATGTTCCCCAGCTTGTGTACTCACCTCCCTAGTGGCCTACGGTGCGACCTACCTCCTAGAAAACCCAGCATAAGTAACTCGGCGCTTTTTATAGGAATGTCAATGAGTGGGCATGCAGAACAGCAGAAGTACTAAGTGAGGGCTGGGCTGGCAAAGTAATCTGAAGATTACAAATGTCAAAGATTTGACCCATCAAGACTATCTCTTTTTCTTCCATTAATCACTTCTTCTTGCTGCTCCATCGCTAATCTTGTTCTCTGTCACCCTGCAACTATTATTTTTCCATTCATCTGTTTCTAGTTTGTTCTCGTACCTGTCTTGGTCACTCACTCATTCTCCAACATCCTCCACCATCCCCACTTGTTTGCTTTCAACTACTACAAATTGGTTGTACTTATCTATGAAAAATAAAAACAAAAATCCACGAACTAATTATCATAGATTATTGCCCCCATTGCTTTGGTTCATGGTAAAAGAAGTACACCACGGAAATGGTAGGTAGATGTCATGAATTTGACTCTGCTGACTAAAAGTAGGAGGAGGTTAGAGGGGCGGGCCCATGCTCCCACGAGTTCCAAAATCTGTGCACCAACTTGAGATTGGCCGGCTAACCCACAGGGGTTTCTTTATTATCCCAACTTAAAAAGTTAGCATAGATTTTTGAGTAGCTGAACATCAATATATACGTCATTTTCCTGTGTATCCTTGTCAACATATTATTCAGCTCCAAAACAATCAGTGGTTCCTTGTTGCTTGGCTAGATAATGCTCTTTCTAATAGGTTAGCTTAAGAAATTTCATTTTCTGGACTCTGAAGGTCTGGCATTGTGTTCTGCAAATGGCAATAGAGTACCGAGATATTAATACTTCATGTGACTAATTTTAAAGAACATGGAAAAAGGGCAAAGAAGTGCTAACAAAAGAGAATTTGGGGATTGGGGCTGGGTAACACTTAAAGGGGGTTATGGGATAGGTTACAGAAGCTTCAGCTTGTGGGAAGATATGAGCAGAAGTCATTGGGTCCTCTCACGTGTTCGAAGTGGCTGATATGAGCAGAAGTCATTTGGGTCCTCACACGTGTCCGGTCTTATTTTAGCAGTTTCTGTGGAGCACATTGGTTTTCTTACGTTCCACGAGGAATTCTTTTGAATTTTGCTAATCCTTTTGTTGTTTATTGCATACTATATGAGATGTCCTTTTCTATCTGGCAGATGAAGAATAATTATCAAATTGAAGACCCTGAATTTAAGAAGCTTGTGTCTGGTTCCATTACTTTACCAGCTTGTGTTGCAACTGCTGGAACCACACTGATTATTGGGTTTGTGAATTTTTCTTCTGTTGCAGTTAACTTGCTCTTGCTTTGTTTTGTTCTTTTTTCCTTCCTTTACCCAGCTGGTTTATTACAAGTAAAATAGCCATGCTTCATGTAGTTTTCCTTGCCTCGTTCTACTTTTATTTTATACTCTTTTCGTTGATGAATACTTTTAGTTACTTTCTTATTGTTTTCGGAAAACTGTTCAGTGAACAATAGTCTGAGAAACAGACTCGCCTTTTGAATATCCTTTAATGAGAGCAAAAGAACCTACCTAGGAAAAACAACATGGGATTTGTGTTTAGTTCTTGACTTATGGTGGTGAACATTGAATTTCATGGTCCAAATTCCAGTACATGTGGTTTTCTTAGCCATCAAATGATCCAATTTTAACTTGCTGAATGCTAATGAAGATGCTGATTCCTCTTCTCCATGACTTGCTGTCATGTCCTCTCTCACCATAATTCTTTTCTTTTGGTATGCGGTGTTCTTTCTTTATATAGTTTTAGTAACTTTTGTGATGGAAAATCTGTAAGGACTCTGAACCTGCTTCAATACACCCTTTGATTTGCTTTTTGTGCCTTTGCTTCCAGGTATGGCTTGGGTTGGCGAGGTGGAAAATGGTATGCTAACAGAAAGTTTAGAAGGGAGCAGATGAAACTGTTGGGACAGATAAAACCTAAAAGATGGCCACTCAGGTTTTTACGACGACCACTAATAAGGCCTAAATCGCCAGAAAATCTATTAACTGGATCAGAAGCATTGCCAAAGGATGCATCTGTTTCCCACCGTTGAGGAGAAATCCCTACCTTTGCTGACAAAATGAGTTCCAATGGCAAATTTTTGGTTCTACCGAAATTACTAGAGTACAGGTTAGCTGTATAGTATGCCAAATGTTCATAACTATTCTTGTTTACAACTTGTCATTGGACTGCTCATTTTTTATTATCAACGAGGATTTTAAATCTTTAACCTCCAAACATCATTATAGAGAAATTTAGCGACCCACCATTGGACATATATGAGTTTTTAATGGCCATTTTTACTTATTGCAGTAGAGTAGAGAAGATGTCAAATAAGACTTGCATTGGATTGTCCCC